TATAGAAGGAAGGAGAGGTTCTGCCTAATCTCCTTAGAGAAAGACGTTCAAAGAAGATTGTTGAAGAAGGATCTAAGACTCAGCCTAAGAGAAAAGCCTTTGAAGCTTCTGCTAAGCCTCAGAAGGTAAAGAAAGTGAAACCCACTCCTCCAGAAGCAAGTCTGGAAGACATTAGAGAAACTATCAAACAGGTATTAACATCTGATCCAATACCAACCATTCACTCTCCATTACCTTCACCTCCTCCATCACCTTCTAGACCACAATCATCTGTACCACCATCATCTGGGATTTATACATCTGAACCCTCTCCATCTCAACCTTCACATTCTCAACCATCTTCTGTACAAACTCCATTTGAACCACCTCAACCAGAAACACAACCAGAACATCAACAACAAGAACCACCTCAGCCATAACCTCAACCACAACAACAACCACAACCAGAACAACAACAACAACAACCACCAGAACATCAATCTTAACCCATTTCATCTGAACCTCCCCAACCAACACAATCTGAACAACCCTCAATAATAGAACAATCGTTACCTGTCCCAGAACCCTTTATTTTTCAATCATCCAATGACATTCTTGATTTGGAACCACTTGCAACCATGGTTGTCTTGTCATCCACCTCATGTCACTCCACTGAATCATCTGATTCTGAATCAGAAGTTCACTCACCCTCCTGTTTACACATTCCTGATCCATTCAAACCTACATTTTCTGACCTATCAGCATCTGACCAAATAAATCATAGACTTTCACTTCGCTCCAAATTCAACCTCTCAGATTTTCAACCTTCATCATCTGAAGCTGAAATTACCACAACCCCTACACCTCAACTCACCATACCACAACCATCTGAACCTCAACCATCTGAACAACCACCATCTGATCCAACACCTCCTGATACCACTTGTGAACAACCTCAGCCAAACGCTGAATCTGCTAAAAAAGTGACTCTTGAGGAATACCTTTACCCCAATCCTAGATTAGATGTTGATAAATTGTTTGAGAATTTCAAAAAGGAAGTTTGTATGGGGATTGCACGTGTGGAAGAAGAGTGTCTGTTCAGTATAGATCCTGTTAAGTCTGAAGCTGCTTGGAATAAATTTATCTCTAAGTTTAACGTTGTGGCTTCTCATCTCAAAGCAGTCTGTGCTGAAGATGCTAAGGCAAAGTTTGCTGAATTGATCAGACAGACTCTGATGAGCATTCCCAAACCACCAGTGCTGCTTCTGGAAGCTGCTCCTGCTGAAGCCTCTCCATCTGAAGATGTTGCATCTGATATGGACATTGATGCGTCTGAATCTGAAGTGAAGGCTGACAATTCAGAACTTGTGAAAGAGGTTAAGGAAATCAAGTCATGGATGATCAAACAAGAATAAACCACTGAAGAGATTAAGACTTGGATGGCCAAGCAAGAAGAGTCTACTACAAAGATCACAGATCTTCTGACCCTGATTGCATCTCGCCCGCCTTAGTTTCTTTTCATGTTTTTTGCACTGTTGTTTGCATCTGCTTTCTTTTGCTTGTTTTTTTTATCATCTATTATGTGAACCCTCTTAATGAATGAAAATTTTTGTTTTGCTTTTCTTCTGTTATCTTTTCTGTCTTTACACATCTTTTTTATTATGACAAAAAAGGGGAGAAAAAGAATCTGATTGTTCAATCCATAAGCAAATACTAAAACGAAATTCAGACATATTACTAACTATCTTTGAATTTAAGTCTTTCAGATTCTATTGTTTCATCTGACAAAATAAATTCATTGAAGTTATCCTGAGAATTACCCAACCAGACTCTGATTCTTGAAGCAAATTGTACTCTGATTCTAAACGAAAAACCAGACTCTGTGTTTGAAAGAAATCATCAAACTCTGATTCTGAAATACACTCAACCAAAAAGGGAAGTACTCTTTTCCTTTAGAGTATTCATTTCAGGGGGAGATTCTTAATCTCAGGGGGAGTTATAATTATTGCTTTTTTATTGAACAAAATTTCTCATGTTTTGTCATCATAAAAAAGGGGGAGATTGTAAGAACACAGATTGTTTCTTAGTAATATCTCTATGTTTTGATGATAACTCTTATGAAATTTTGTACTAAAGAATTATATACTCTAAAATTTGTTCATGAATATTTGCTGCAGATGATTAAAGTATATATATATATATATATATATATATATATATATATATATATATATATATATATATATATATATATATATATATATATATATATATATAAGAGCAAATTAACCTGAACATGGAACTATGGAAGGCTCTGAAGAGTCAGAATCATCTTATAGAAGAATCTGAGCGCTGTCTGCAGAAGGATCTGAAGCAGAAGCTATAGAAGAATCTGAAGCAGAAGCTGCAGAAGGATCTGAAGCAGAAGACTCTGAAAGATCTGAAAACTCTGAAGCATTGAAGATCTTTGTATGAGAGTTAAGAAGCACAGTTTTCAGAAGACTCTGAGAGTACTATACACTGCATGTACTGAGGATCTGATTCATAAAACTCTGCTTTGATAGAACTACACACTGAAGCACACTTGTTGCATTACTCTGATTCAGCAAAATCTGATGGGCATCCAAGACTCTGATCACGCAGACTCTGATGTTTACTTTGCTAAAGTGAAATACTTGTTGAAGAAGAATTCAAAGTCATGTCTGTTGATTTGGCTCAACGACTCTTTCCTCTTTCATGCTTGCCACTAGAACACAGACCAAAAGCATTTATCTGTGCATTCTACTTCCAGGAAAGGTCATGTGACGTGAAGGCAAAAAGGTTCAGGCCTTTTCAGTACACAGCCTCCAACGTCAAGACTTTGTGGACTACTGTGCATATAAAAGCAAGTCTTCCTCATCTTCTTCAAAAGACGAATCATTGATAGAAACTCTTACAAGATCTCATAAAATATTCTTATTCTCTTTGCTGAGTTTATTCTTTTGTTCTTAACATTAAGTGAAAAATCACTCTTGTGATAAAGCTTGTTAGAAGCATTCAAACACTTGTATTTATCTTACATTTCATTGTAATAGTTCCTTGAGAAGATCCAGTTGGGATCAGTAGTTCTTGAGAAGACTAAGAACAGTTGCTCTTAGTGATTGCTATTGTAATCAGTTGATTAATAGTGGATTAAGTCCTTGTTTGAGAAAGGCAAATCACTCTTGATAGGGTGGACTGGAGTAGTTAAGTTTAACGAACCAGGATAAAAATCATTGTGTTTTTATTGCTATAAGTTTTTTAAAGATACTTATTCAACCCCCCCCCCCCCCCCTTCTAAGTATTTTCTCACCTTCAGTTTTTCACTTTTTTAACATTAAGAAAATTTCTAGTGAATAAAATTCATAACAGACAGAATAAGAATGAGTGAGATATAAGAGTATACAGTTAATAAAATTCATGATTTGAAAGTAAGGAAAGCACTCCTTTATAAAAGAAAAATTTTGAGCTCAACAAAGCAAAAATATGAGCTTAAACATTGTCTAATTGATTAAAAATGACAAACTAATTGATTAGATTAAGCTATAGAAAGAAACCCTAATATATATATATATATATATATATATATATATATATATATATATATATATATATATATATATATATATATATATATATATATATATATATATATATATATATATATATATATATATATATATATATATATATATATATATATATATATATAAAACAAATTAAAAGAGTTTTTCTAATCGATGAGGAGATAAACTCGTTTCTTGATAATTTAGATAAAATCTCTAATCGATTAGACTGTAAATTTAACTTTTCTAATTTATCAAAATTACTTCTTAATCGTTTAAGCACTTTTCCATATTGATTTTTAAAATAATTTTAAAAAGATGAAGAATTTAAAACAATTTTATTGTGTGTGGGCATTGTCTTACTAATGCAAGACTTACTCTTGCTTACTTATATACATATGACTAATTACAAGATAAAGATAAAAACACTAAGTGTGTGATTATGTGAGCTTTCACATTTTCACCTCCCTTTTTTTATTTATTTTATTTTTTTAGCTTTTCATAGAGAAACTGGATACTTTTCTTTGAGTTTTTCTCTGGGAACTCGAACTCAGCTGAATATATTACCCTTTTGAAGTACACTTTTGCCTCAAACAAATAGTGAAATATTACAAGATATTTTTCTTAACAACACAGATCCTTATTTATACAACTTTAAATTCACTCAAGATCACACAAAATTGTCAATACAATCAGAGTCGTACAAAACTATCAACAAAATCTCAACCATTAAATTAACACTATTGATTATTTTTTTCAATTCCTCAAAAAATCCAGGATTTAAAATATAAAAAAAAACTGATACTTTTAAACTCCACAAAAAATCCAGGATTTAAAATATAAAAAAAAACTGATACTTTTAAACTCCAGATTTTCCAATGTTTTGCAAAAAATCCGATACAGCAAGATGTTTTTTTAAAAACCAGTAAGTTTTTTCACACACTGATTTTTTTTTAAATGGTATAATTGCTTACCGTATTTTTTTAAGAACACTACCAAATTTTATGTTTTATATCGGACATATCACTTGTTCTATCAGATATTTTTAGAAAATTTTGACAAGGGCAATATAGATATTATGGAAAATTGGAGGGGGTGTCAAGTCAAATTTTGGAAATGACGAGATAAAATCACGTAGAATTTGAATGAAAGAAAAGGGCAATGACATTTTGTCAAGGATAAAAGAAAACTTTAGCCAATAAACATTTTAATATGAAACCTTTAAGCAAATATTTATCTCAAAAGCAACAAGAAAATGACAATGGCATTTTGATTCTTGATTTCTCCACCCCCTCCCTTTCCTTTTAACAAACCAACAAAAACTCGGGGTCAACAACTACAGTTAAAATAGGTAGCACACATGCCAGGTTTTCATATAACTACAAAATATGTTAGATTTCCCTAACAGTTAAACCATGACTTGAGCAGCCACAGATCTCAGTCTCTCCATCGGTGTCCACAGTTTGGGTTGCAGCAAACGAAGAAAAGGGTCATTCCTTCCTCCCCTCTGGCAGTTGCCTGCATGCATTTTAAAATATCAGATGATCCATAAGTACTCAAAATAAGGTTTCTGATCAAGACAGTGTTAGACATTTGCCAAAAATGCGTTCAAAAGTGTAGTTTACAGTATATAAAGATTAGAGTATCGAAAATCGAAATGCCATTAAGGAACATGGTCCTTGGCCAGTGTTATTAGGGAACTCATTTGCCCTTTTTTTTGGTTGAAGAACTAATTTATCATTTGAACAAGAAAATGACGTAATTTACATGAAATCAAAGGTCCAAAATATTTCCAATTTAGCAAAACAAGATCCCCTTTTGTTTCTTATTGGAAAGACTAGGGTATAACAGAATAACAGAACAAATAATGACACTACAGCATGTCAATAATATTTTTCCATTAAAAGGAAAATAACATAATTCTATACATTGCAACAATCTGCCTAGAACCATCAACACTACATTGATGGAGACATCAGCTTCATGACATTGAACAATAGTCACACTTGTTCAAACTTTATTTTTATTTTAATCTTGAGGTGGCAGGCTGATGCACCAGCTGATGAATGTCATTGCATCGAAACAAGATAAAGACAATATATAGAAGTTTTCAAACGCGTAGGGTCTCATACAACAACTCACATGCCTTCTAGCATCTATTCACTTGTCACGAGTTGTGGCACTTTATAACCCTATATAGTTCTAGTCCCATTTCTAGTCCCTGATATCAGAAATTGAAACTTCTGACTCAAAATAGCTAGAGCAGGACAGGAAAAGAGAAGCCACAAGCACAATCTTATGACACAGAAATTTGGGGGACAAAGGGTCACCCATAAAGGAAAAAGCCTTCTACTTCATTTACCCGATACAGCTGATTAAACATGATGTCACGCAATCGTAAAATGAACACAAATGCCCTTAATTAACATGACAAAAGAAGCTCCTCCCTCCTTTAAAATATGTAGGATATTTCAAGTTAACTAAACTAAATTATTGCACCTTTACAAAATGACTTAAATTCAAGCTATGTGGGTCTTACTGTGAGTACTATTTCCCTTGCTGTTTTTCTTGAATTTTTCTGTGGTTTTAGAGTTGAGCTGTTTAATAATGTCATGCAACTGAGTCAAATTCTATACTACAGCTACATTTGATCGGTCAAGAAGATATGTTATTACTGGTTCAGATGATCGACTTGTAAAAATTTGGTCAATGGAAATTGCATGTAGTTTGCTGTGGGTTCAAACAACGCATTAGTTGCATCCTCATCAAACAACTCCGTTATTTGAGTCGTAAGATTTCTGTGACAAAGTTAGCAATTTTTTTGTATCTTCTCTCCCTTATATCTGGAAGTGTTTGGCATTTTATATTTGACTATTTGGTTTACACAGTAGCTTGCCAATATCAGTTTTCTGGGGACATACTGGAGCTGATACAGCCATAGCCTTTAGTCCCAGACCGAAAGCTGTTTACCAGCTTTTATCATAAGTATGTTGTTTATTAAAGAAAGAAAAAGCAGTTCATAATAGCAATTTGTTCAAACTTACTCCGCTATGCCACAGTGCTATAACCACTATTTGACGACGACGATGACGACGACAACAACAACAACCAAGCCTTATCCCCACTTAGTGGAATCGGCTACAAGGATCAACTTTCACCATAATGTTCTATCCAGAACCAAACTTCTATCCAAATTATAAATCTCGAGATCTTTCTTAACTATTTGACAACACATAGTACTAAATAGCTTATCGTAGAACAATAGCGACTTGTTCAAATTCTACTATGTGATAGCGTTATAGGGCAGTGGTTTTACCTGGAAAAACACAGCTTCGCCGTGGTTGCACTGAACGCAGCGAACAGCCTTGGTACGAGGAAGAGTTGGATCTGCAGCTACATCCTGCAAGACTTGAGTCCGCTCTCCAACAGAGTGATGAATCTCATTTCTATACACACAGAAGTTATCAGCATTCTCCTGAACAACAACATGTCAACATATAAACAACTAGTCAAACAAACATATGACATCAAAGTTTATCACATTGGAACAAGAAAGATAGTCCCTCTCAACACCAATTTCAAAACAAAACAGAAAACAACAGCATCCTGATTGGAAAACGTAGAAGAAATAAGGAACCTGGTGATCGCAATTGCGGCAAGCATAGAGAAGAACCTTAGCTTCTCTGTCTTCCTTAGGGTATAGAATGTTGTTACTGAATCGAACAAAACCAAGTTATTAATTAATTTATGAAAGATAAAAAGGGATAAATGGAAGATGAAGAGCGGAGAATCGAACCATTCGCGGCAAAATTTCATGGTACTCATCTTTGGCAGAGGAAGAAGAGAACAAGACCTGACTGATTCCACACACTCTTTTGCTGCTTACTGCTTCCTTCTCTTCCCTCCCACTTCTCTCCTTTTCACTCTCTAATCTGAGTATCTATTAACCATTATTAGTTTATATACTTAATTATTTCATTTTAAAAATTACACTATTAAATCAAGATTAATTGGAATACAAGCGTTTACATTGTGATTCAATTAAAATGAATAATTAATTATAATATATTATTTTTATTTTTAATTCAGTAGCTTATGGGTCAAAAAGATTAATTTTAATGAGATGATATTATAAAATAACTTTATATCGATAATGTATTTCAATTAATCTCTTAAATCGATTAGCATTGTTTATTTCTCCCTCCGTCATAAGAGTTGATCCAATCATTTCACACAAATTTAAAAAAAGTGAATATAGAGACTAATGCTTTTACTAAAATACCTCTTATCAAATATTAAGAATGATCAAAAGCAGAAATAATTAAAAGGATAAAATTGGAAAAAGTAATTAATATTGCATTGGACATTGAAATTTTATTTTGAAGAATTTTATTTTACAAATTTGTCACTCGTTGTGAAACGGAGGGAGCACTCATTTCATTGTATTTTTTATACTATGTCAGGTCACTAAGACCTAAGAAAAGGACATCCAACAGTGAAGTCAAAAGCTACCGCCTAAAAAGTAGGTGGATTTTTTCCTTGTGTTGTAGAGTACCTCTCACAAAGATATTAGGTCAATCTCTTCGATCAATCTAACGGTTGGTCGCATCTCACACATATGTAGTTACCAACCATCTACCTTGTTTAAAGAGAAAAACACACAACTCTTTCATCATTCAAATCATTTCCATTCAAAATCCACATTTTCACTCACTTATCGACTTAAGCGTTGGAATTCTAACATTGCAAGTTTGTCCTCTCTCCACTGCATTAGAAGCCTTAAGTCACCGTAATAGAGAGAGAATTCATCATTTTTTATCAGTACATAACTCTAGAGAAGAACAGTATCGACGTATGTAGGAATTGATTTCTAATTCATGCGATCTCCATGATTTGTCGTTTCTCGATTCAACCAAATCGCTTCCAACAGAAATCCATATCTTCTTCAATTGAAGCATAGGTCCCCATATTTTGATCGATTTCGTCGAATTCAAATCCAAGCTCTCTTCCATTTGATATGTTAAACAAATGGTCGCTTCCAAATCTACACGTTTCATCGTTCAACAACATGTTGTTACAGATGATGAAGCGGCTAGGAACCCTCAACCTCTTCCTCAAGGGAAAAACTGTCAAGTGTTAATAACCACTCCCTCTGCTCCTTCATCGTTGAATCTTGTCCAACCTATGGCAGATCAAAGAACTTCTCAAATTCCTTCATTCCTCATATCTATTCTACAATTCAACCTAGGCGAACCTTCCTCCAGATCTATCTTATTGCCCGTCATAACCAAACACAAACCGCTCCCTGCTTTTTAGCTCTTGCATACTAATCTTGGTTTACAATGAGCCAATGAACTATTGAGCAATGTGTACTAGATGGTTCAGCAACAAAAATCTAAAGCCTTAGTAGCGAGACTAACTTGGATCAAAGAAAGTCTGCACAACTTCAAATCGAAGAACAACACTATGCAAAAGGTGGTTTCGTATAAAATCTTCGCCTTGCAGCCGAGAAAGAATCCAAAGGAGGTTCGAAAATCTCTAAGTTGCCGATGACACGGGCGTCACAATCCTTCCCTTGATCCTGAGTGAGGAAGAGGTAGTCACACTCCTCCCGAAGTTCTCTACCCTATGAGGAAAGACGGGTATAAACAAGATACTTCTGCCAAGCACTAGAAGAAGAACCTCATATTCATTCATATCCTGGACAACAAGATCTTGAAGTCGCTGGAGAATCCTTTTAAACTCCAAAGTTATAAGGAAATTGGTGATCTGGATGAGCACGTCGAGCATGTGAACGACCGGTTGGACATCTATCATGTCGATTGAGATGTAAAGTGTAAGCATTTTGAACTAACCCTAATGAGCCAACCCTAGCTTGGTATAAGTCCCTAGCGAATGGGAGCATAAATTTATAGTTTAATTTGTACGAAGCTTTTACCGCTTATTTCACTACCATAAAGAGGTAGTTAACTACCATGGTAAGAATGAAACCCTGAGGGGAAATATAGATTGTTCCAACAAGGTGCAGTAGCTATTGAAGGCTCGGATGAGAGCTTGAAATGTTGGGATTTTGATAAGGGCCTCAGATCGAATTATGTATATTGGGAAAAGTTATGGCGTAAGGAAGCCCACAATCTGAAAGATTTGCTGAGTATGGTGCATCCATACATCAACTATGAAGAAAAGACGGTGGTTCATTGTGAAGGTCGAGCGTTAGGGAATGCAGGGTCTAGTCGACTAGTAGATAAAGATTTTAGGCAGTCCATGGAAGAGAGTGCATGCACAACCCTCCTAAGGTTAAACTCTTACACTCATTTGAATACTTCGAGCTAGATAGTCTTAAAGGAGTACATACAAACATTGGGTTTAAATAGGCCAAGATAAAGAGCCCATATTCGATCAAGGAATTTTCACAAAGTAACATGTCCAAATACTTATATTTTCATAAGAGCCACGACCACAACACTGATGATTGAACCCAACTAAAGGATTCAACTAAGGGGTTAATGGAAGATTTCTCGAGTACATCAAAGATGCCAAAAGGATTCAAGAGAATTTCGTCTAAGAGGAAGCAATCCCCTAAGAAATTTGTTGAAGTTGTGGCCAGAAACTAAGGCAGGAAGGCAAGTACTGGAGAAGATGGTGAATATAAGGAAAAAAAATCAATACATTGCTTCCATTACAGTGGGTACCCCTAGAGTGAACAAGTCATCTAAGGGTACGGTAAAGAGGAAAATCCTAAAGCTGATGGTCGTTCGAAAAAATGAATGGAGTACCTCTAGAAGAACACAAAGAGTGCTATCCTAGAATTTTGGGATAACAAAAAGGTTGGGGAAATTCATAACAAAATCTTTCCTCTTGTTATAATGGTCTCGATCTCTAATTTTGACCTATCCAGAATATAGATTGATGGCGGAAGTTCCTACATATTTTGTACTCACATATCTTCGAGAACATGATATTGAAGAAAGAAAAGTTGTGGCCCTATGAATGGTCTAACCTGCATACATTTAATGACATTGTAACCCATCCATAGGGGTACAGGGAATTTATGGTTACCTTGGGAGGGGAGAGATACCATGATTGGCGGTTCCTAATTCCAGATAGTTCCTTATATAAGCGTTTACAGCTGCATCCTACGTCAGCCATTCACAATCGTTCTAGATGTAGAGGCTTCAATGATTAACCTCAAGTTGAAATACCACAACATGTAAGATGAGTTGACAATAATCAGCGTCGATCTTTCTAGAGTAAAGATGGTCTATAAGGCTTTGTTGTAGAAACAGAAAGAAGGTGAGGCTAAGGTTGTGGAGATCAATGTGGCCTATTTGATCAAACAACTGAAATACATGGCCATCTAGCCTCATCCAAATAAAACAAGTCGTAGAGGCCAGACGGGAAAAAGTGTATGGCCTTAACTGATCTAGACAAGAACAACTGCCACGCGCTCCGTTTCAAACAAGTAGCAGTTGTGCCACTCGGTTGTGTTAAATTCAGTTTACTTTTTTTTTGTAAAGTCTAAATGTATTGAAATCATTCAACTAAATAAGAAAGAAATTTTCCCTCACTAAATTATTTGTTTCTTTTTGTGATTATGAAAGGTAACGATGAGTTTGAAGTACGATCAGAAAAATTATAGTCTCATCATAAAAGACTCATGGGTGTTGTCAAAAACTCCACAAGCTTACAACTAAAGCAATAAAAACCTCATGATATCATCGCGTGCACATAAAAAGAACATGCCTAAAAATGGAAAATAAATCGGCTCACCTCCACCTGATAGCTAGCCACTCCAAAGGCAATGGAGGGTCCGCCAATGCGTCGACCTTAAACCAAATACTCACCTTAGGGTAAGGGAAGGGGTACCGACCTCCGGCCAGGCGTGTTCTCTAGAGATATCAAATAAACTTTGAGAAAAACTCTGAGGCAAATTCGAATCCCAAAGGAACAAATCAAGGATCAAGAGCAAATGATATTATACAGGTAAAATCAAATAAATTACAAAAGTGCGTGTATATATATTGCAAGATAAAAATGTTGACATTACTAAGGCGCAAGACATTAGCTCACACTAAAAAAAAGAAGAAGTTGGTCCGACAAAGAGACCATTTTCCCTTCCTGAATGACTTGATTGAGACGAACTCAATCAAGAGAGGCGTGAACGTCTAGGTAAAAAAATACTTCACTTAATTTTAAAAAACTCTCAAAAGCACATTCGACAACAAAAAAAACCCTCTTGTAGTGAATTAGTCAACTCCTAGAAGGACCAAGGTTCTCTTGGTGCATTTCATGAAGACCATCCTCGGCCTTTTTTTTATTTTCTTGGGATTCTTCGAGAGACATCTCTAGTTCTTCAATACTTTTTTGATCAAGATGTTAAGCCCCTTGATTGGAGGAAGATGTCGGGACACAGACCAAAACCTCACAGTTCCCGACCATCACTTAGGTATATTATTGTACCTTTTATACAACAAGATAATTGACGTTTAACAAGTATGGAATGCTAATACATCCAATTCCATTTGCCTAGACTCCTTAAAAAGGTCCAAAAAATAAGGATAGTCTTCATCATAAATCGATCACCTGAACACCTTATTCGTCCTTGGACCCGGTCGATCCAATAACACTGGATGTCACTCCTATTAAGCGAAAGCCCGCACTCATACATTTTTAGACTGGGAACTTTTATCACGAAGCCTCTCGCCTAGATTTCTTCCACCTCTAATGTAGGGGTTAACCTTCAAATTGTTGTTGGGCGAAGGAATCTTGAATGCCCAGTAGAGAAGAATGATTAAGTGTCTGAACTACCTGTTCGACATCAAAAC